ACCCCCATTAGCATATATTGCTACAAAGTAATGCCATTAGGCTTGATGAATGCTGGAGCTACCTACTAAAGAGTGTTGACTCGAATCTTTGATGTTTTTATCCATAAGTATGTAGAATTTTATGTTGATGATTTAGTTGTAAAAAGCAAAGATCAACATGAACATGTAAATGATCTCAAAATTGTATTAGAAAAAATTCGAAAATTCAATTTGAAAATGAATCTGCTTAAATGCGTTTTTGGTGTGTTATCCGGTAATTTCTCGGATTTATTGTACGCTATAGAGGGATCGAAATTGATCTCGATAAAATTCAAGCGATAGTGGAAATGCCACCTCCAAAAACTTTAAGACAACTTCGTTCATTACAAGGAAGATTGGCATATATCCGAAGATTTATATCTAATTTTTCAGGTAGATGCCAACCCTTTTCACGATTTATGAAGAAAGATACTTCTTTTGTGTGTGACGATGCTTGTCAAGAGGCATTTAATAGCATAAAGCAATATCTGTTGAATCCTCCTATCCTTGCTGCCCTAATCCCAGGGAAACCCTTAATCCTATATATAACTGCTCTTGAAGAATTACTCGGAGTATTGCTAGCACAAACAAATGAAGATGACAAAGAAAATGCCTATTATTATATCAGTCGACGTTTAATAGGGGCAAGATTTAAATATTCACCAATTGAAAAACAATGCCTAACATTGATCTTTGCCACTCAAAAACTACGACATTATATGTTATCCCATAAAATCACTTTAATATCTAAAGTGGATCCAATAAAATTTCTAATGACTAGACCGACTCTCACTTGTCATCTAGTTAAATAGGTTGTCTTGCTAATGCAATTTGACATAACATATATGCCACAAAAAATGGTGAAAGGACGGACTCTAGCTGATTTTCTAGTAGCCCAACCTTTACCTGCAGATTCTCCACTCAACGATGAACAACCATATGAGCAAACACTTGAAGTGGAAGGAGAAAATCCGCAAGAATGGGAGCTCTATTTCGATGGGCCTTCATCAATAAAACCAGCAAGGCTACCTAAAATTCCGACTATCCAAGTGGGCATTGACCTTATATTCATTACACAATAAAAATGAATACTCTGATATTCCTATAGCTTAACAGAGCCTCGCACCAATAATGAGGTTGAATATGAGGCTTTAATAGCGGGTCTTGAATTGGCGGTTAATATGAAAATTGAGAAACTCCTACAACAAATTCCTGAGGTAACTCTCGCAAGGATTACACGTAGTGAAAATGGAAAAGCCGATGCGCTGGCAAAGTTAGCTAAAGAACTAGCAAATCTACATAAGGATCCAATTCTTATAACTATTCAAAACATGCATGCATTAACTCCATCCATTATACAAAATGATGAAATGAAAGAAATGCAAGAGAGCTTGACTATATCTGATGAAAATGATTGGAGAGATCTATTCATTAGATATTTCAAAGAAGGGAGATTACCCGAAAATAAATTCATATCTTCTCAAATATCACGAAAAGCATTAAGATATGCTTTCTTGAATGATATATTATATCGTAGATCATTTGATCAAATGTGGCTACAATGTTTGGGTCCCGATGAATCCCAAAAAGTCATAAGTGAAGTTCACGAAGGATTGTGTGGTGCACACCAATCTGGGCCAAAAATAAAAATCAAAATCAAACGTATGGGATACTATTGACCAAGTATGATTCAAGATTGCATTGATCATGCTAAGAAATGTCATCAATGTCAAGTGCATGGAGACATCATGCATCGACCTCCCAATCCGCTACATCCTACAGCAGCGTCATGACCATTTTTAAGCTGGGGTATCGACATAATAGGTCTTATAGAACCACCAACTTCTTTAGAACATCGGTTCATCCTGGCTACCACTGATCCTTCTATACGGGTCAATAGAAGTTGACAGGGTTCGAATCATCAAATAATTATACGATTGTGGTGACCAGTATATTTGTTTTAATACATTTATATTAGGCCTTCAAGCCCTATAATCAAAAGAATTCACTAAATAAAGGCATAAAGCCTACGAGAAACCTGATCCTCGATTAATAGCTTGATCGAGTTGACAGGGTTAATCCATAAAGAAAAATGACATCGATCACCTCGATGATGACCGTGTTGAATGAAGGTCTCAATCGAAGGGGTTTCCAAATATTTTCAAATGTCACCCAAATAACCACAGTCCATTTCAAATATTCCAAAGCTCCACCCAAAATACCCATAAAAATCCAAAACTCCACAAAATCCAAAATCACTAAAATCCAAAAAATATTCAAAATCGAAATAAATCCATCAAACTACTTAAAGCAAAATCCATCCACCCTCCACAACAATTTGCCGGGTGGATAAATCAAAATTTACTTCAGCTTACAAAAGAGCTAAATGCCTGGTCGAAAATATCACTAGGATCTATTCTCAAACAATCTCCTGCCAGTAAGGACGTGGTACATGTCCTCTAACCGGCGGTTTGCCGCCAAATGGCATCGCAGGATAAACGGTTATGACCCGGGGCTTTCTGAACTGAGTGGTTTTGCCGCCAAATGGCACCAAGAAATACCGGTTATGGCCAGCGCCATTACGTTCATTATTGGCTTCAAATCCTTGAGATATGAATCAATATGATATGATCGATAGGGCACAAAGCCCTCTGTTAGCTAAGGTGGATTCAAATTTGTCCCCTTAGGCAAATATCCAACTCTGGTCTACAAGGTCCCCTTGGACGAAGCAACCCATGGCTGCCGACAAGGATCCTTCTGTCAGGTTGGGTCGACTACCTCCTTTGACTAAGTAGACCAGGGACCACGATGACCCGGGACGACGGAACCATGGGATCTTGATCGGGTCTATCATCCATTCCCCCACCATCCGCTTTAAGTGCAAGATGGTGAAATTTTTATTTTAAATATAAAAAACCTTCAAATTTTCAAATATCAATCATTCAAATTCCCAAATTTCCAAGCCTCTAAACACATCAAATCTCAATACCCAATGCTGCTACTATATGCCAGATAACGCGTATACTTTACATATCTGATCATCGACTAGCCTTAATCGAAAGTTCTCTCTCGTGATCGGGAGGGGTAATTAACTATAGGGGCTTGCGCCTATAGGAAACCAGAACTCAGATCATAAAGTTCTCACAAAATCAGGGCGAAATCTCTGGGTAGTGTCTTATCTACAAACCCATCTGCCTTCCAAAATTTACCCCCGAATCTATCAGTTAAAACTCCCTCGCCCAATAAAAAGAAAAAGCTAGCGGAGGCCGGGGCCGAATTTTCGGAGCCCACACTTCTAAACAATGCTATAAACCCTATTCTAAAACCTAAAGCTTGGGCAACTTTTAAATGGAGCTCTAAGCCCCGAACCAATTCGTTCGACTTGGTAACTTATAAACGAAGCCATAAATCCTAAACTAAATCAATCACTTGGTGTTCTAATAGATGTAAACGTCAAACCATCATAAAACTATAACCCACATCTATTCACCTCAGTCTACTAGAGATCTTTGAAAGGAGGCAACACATGGCTGCTAATCAGATTCTCTGGACACTACGATCAATGATCACTAGTGTTGGTAGACTGAAACCTATGATATTCCCAAGATGATGGAACTATGGGATCTTGATTGGGTCTTCATCCATCCCCCTACAAACGAGATTAAAATACCTAAAATTATTCATTTTTAATCGAGAGTTTTCTCTTACGCAGTAAAAAGGGTAATTAACTATCAGAACTTGCGCTTATAGGAACTAAGGACCTAGATCTAACTAAACCCTGATACAATCTTCAGAGGAAATCTGGTTAACTACAATCTGCTTTAAAGAGAATGAAATCCTAAGTCTGCAAAGAGGGATTCATGCTGAAGCGTCTTTTTTCTTGAGCAAACACCTCCATGCCGAATCTAACTATCAATGACCATTTTACTGCTCAACATTGATGTCCATGCAATTTAGTTGGTCTAAATGCTTAATATTACATAAGTATCCATAACATCCTCTATTCTTTAGATACTTTATATATTTTAGTCATCCAACTCTAATTCTAGAAGTTATACCTCATCCATATGCTCATTCTTTTATATAATACATCAAGATACTTAAACATATAACAAATGAGTATTGGTTTATCTTCTACTAATATTTACTAATACTTGTTAATGTCATAGCCATTAAAATTGTATATCATGTATGTGACTTTTGTTCTACTAATTCTAAGCTATTTATCTTTTTAACCTTTTCTCTAAATGTTCTATTTTTTTTACTTATTTCGGTAAAGGCAAGCGGTAAAAGCCTTGCCTGGCAGTACCATCTCATCTGAGAAAAGCATATACTAAAGCACCTCACTTTGAAGCATTTCCATGACCTATACAAAATGATATGTGCACGATGCTGTTTTTTCATGTAATGCTATTATAATTGGAAATTTTTTTGTCACTCTACAATTATTTTTAATTAAGGTTTTAATAGCTTTAATATGCCTTTGATACATGCTTTTTTAACTTTAATGTAGATCAAAATAGTTCTCATGATACTTGGTCATACATTTTCACAAGCTGAATAAAAATCATATCAAGATTATTTCTCTTCTATTTATACTTTTTGATTATTCATTTGAATGCAAAAATTGCTTCCATATGACATCTTCCTGGACTTGCAAAGCAGAAACTTCTATTTTTGAGACAGATGTTATAGAAGAGGCTAGTTGAATATGTTCCTGTAATATTCTTTCTTCTTTTGCTTTGAATATAATAATATCTGTCCCTTCATATTTCTTTCACCTAATTCCCAGAAGTTTTTAGTAGATCTCCCCCAATGTCCAGCGAAGTTCTAGGAGAAACCTGCAGCTCTCTGTCCTCTAATCACAAGCTTTTAGTCCTCCATTTTCTCATGTTTTTTGCACGGTTACAGGATGGTGGACTCCTGTTTCTTGTTGGTCTATTATATATTTCATCTGACATATTTCTTGGTTTTCTTGATAGAGTGAGTATCAGCGAGGAGTCAGTGCATGGAATTTTGATATTGAGGATTTGAAGGCCCAAGCGTCACTGGTATGCCGTTTGTTTAAATTTTCTTATTCATGACGCCAAATACTATTTTGTTTAAATTCTGCCAGACTGGAGTCATTAGTGTTGTAGTCTTGTGGTTAACCTGTTACTCGAGTGATTCATGCTTTTACTGATTTCTGAAGAATTATTGTAGATTCAGGATGATGAAGATTTTGCTGAAGCTAAAGAAGATAATTTAAGCCTACGGCATTTCATCAACAATGAGGTTTTGATATTTTTATTATCTTTAAGTACATTTTCTATAAGATTATCGCTAATATGTATGTTTGTTTGACGTTGAAAAAACAGAGAAGATTTCCTACATAAACTTTCCTTGTTGTCAACAGGATGAATCCACTCCTGGATCTGCTGTAGAAAAACCATTAGCTGATGATGAAATTGGCTACAGGCGAGCTTTCTTGTTTATATCATGGAGTTATTTATTCTATGTTATCAAGTTTTATGCTCTTTTCTGGTGCTTGCAATAATGCTTAAGAGTCAGAAAATGTCTACTCCTGTCACTATTTATTTGGTTTTTAATTTTTTAGGTTCCTTCTAAATAGTAAAATTTTACGAAAGTTCTCAAGATTTAGCTGTGAAATTATTTCAAGTATTGCATGCTTTGATTTTTCTTGATTTGAGAACAGATGGATATAAGCTACAAAATGCTGCAAACATAAAATAATAAAATAAAATCTGCTCATTTTCTGAAAAGTTCATATGCAAAATCTTTGATTTGTCCATGAATCACTTCCATAGCTGGATGATATATCCTTCTAATAGTCGATGTAATGATAATATTGAATCACGTTTCTGCTCTGTGATACTGAAGACAGAGTCTTGTTTTCCAAATCTTTGGAGTATTGTTCTTTTCTTATCTATTTTTTTTTTTTTATAGCTCATTTAAATTGTGCAGATCAAACAAGATTGAAGAAGAATGTTCTGGTGCTGATGGTGCAATAAAAAAATATGAGCATCACGAAAAAGATTCATTTGACTTTGCTAATCAAGAAGATATCGACATATCCAACAAGGTCAGGTTGAAAAATGATTCAATACCATCAACTTCTAAGCAGGATTTTGAACCGAGATGGAAAAGTCAAGTTGGGAAAAAGCACCAAACCTACAGTGGTCCTCTTTTACCTTCTAGTATGCATAACAATTCTTCAGAAAGGGGTCGGACCTCTGAAAGGTTCAGCTCCTTTATTTGATTTCAAATTCTGTTTCAAGTGCTTTTGTCATATTATATATTTGTTTATTTTATCAAGTTCAATAAAATACAGCTTTTGAAATAAGCCTGCTACTTTTTTATTTGAACAAAAAGTAACCTATTTAGTTTTTGTGCGTATGTCAGTGATGTTGTGAATGGAAAGATGAGAAGTGTAAACTAGCCATTTACATGGCTTTTTTGGTTTCGTTATATGTCTGATCGGCACAGTGAATGGGATTGGAAGACATGACTACAAAATGCTTTAATGGTAGAATTTAGCAATTTTTAAAAGTTGGAACTAAGGTGAATTGTGATTATGGTTTTTTATGTTTGTTTGTGATATATTCTTAGGATTCTTTTTTTGGGTTAATAGGGATTTTTTTTAATGGGGATGCTCATCACTTATAAGAATGATATAATAAAATTCAGATTGATAATTTTCTTATAAGAAAAATAATTCGTTTAGATTGCAAAGATTGTAAAGTTATTTCAATTTAAAATTTATGTATTTAACACTGCTTAATAGTTTTGGACTTTATAATGAATGATCAAAATATGAAAAATAAAGTAAAATGTTGTTCTAGGATTAAACGAGGGCATTTAAAGAATACTAACAAAAGTATTTTTGAAAGTAATATTTATGATTTTATGATTTTGTTTGTGCATGAGGAAGCTAATGTTATATGAGAAAAAATAGTTAGTGCTATTAATAATATTACAAAGGATGTGTTTGGAGTATCTAAATAAAAAATTTTTAATAGTAAAAGTAGTTGGTGGTGGAATAATGTACAAGGAAAGATAAAAAATAAGAAGCTTTGTTATAAAAATTAGTTTAAATGTAAAAACTCTAAAAAATGGAAAAGTTATAAAGTGGCCCGTAAGGAGTCTAAGATAGCAATATGCGACACAAAGAATTTATATTATAGATTAGATAATATAGAGGGTGAAATATATATTTATAAGTTAGCCAAGCAAAAAGATAGGAGAAATAAGGATTTAGTTACAGTGAAGTGTATTTAGGATGAAGATTAAAAAGTGATTTTTATTGGAAGAGGATATTCAACAAAGGTGAATGAAATATTTTGATAAGCTTTTCAATGAAGATTGTGAGAATACGATTGTTTTAGTGATCTTAGCACCATAAATGAAAATAGAGATTTTTGTTTTTATCGGCATATTAGTAAAATCTAAGTTAGAGAGATTTAAAAAAAATGAAGTGTGGAAAAGATGTTGGATCGAATGATATTCCAATAGAGGTGTGGAAATGCTTAAGAGAGGAAGGAAATTCTTGGCTTATGAAACTTCTCAATATTATTTTGATGACAAAAAAGATGCCATATAAGTGGAGTGTTGATTTCTATTTTTAAATAAAGATGATGCACAAGAGTGTGCAAATTATAGAGGAATTAAGTTAATGTGTCATATTTTAAAAATATGGGAGAGAGTTATTGAGCACAGGTTAGGACGTGTTACTACTGTTTCTCAAAATCAATTTGGATTCATGCCATGTAGGTCTACTATGGAAGCTATACATTTATTGAGAGGTTTGATGGAGAAGTATAGAGAGAATAAGGAGGATTTGCATACGATATTTTTTGATTTAAAGAAAACATATGATAAAGTTTCCAAAGAAGTGTTATGGAGAGTTTTAGAAAAGAAAGAGGTTATAATGCTTATATTCATGTCATTAAGGATATGTATGTAAGAGTTGTTACTTGTGTTTAAACACAAGGTGGTTTGACCAATAATTTTTCTATTTCAGTTGGATTACATCAAGGATCAACTTTAAGCCCATATCTTTTTCCTTTGCTAGACATTTGCAAGAGGATGCACCTTGATGTATGCTTTTTGATGATGATATTCTTCTTATTGATAAGACTAGAGGGGGAGTTGTTGGTAAACTTGAATTATGGAGGCAACCTTAGAGTCTAAAGGTTTTCATTTGAGTAGATCCAAAACTGAATACATGGAGCGTAATTTTAGTAGTAATAGATTAGTGGGGGGATTGTGACTCTGGGCAATCAAGTCATTAATAAGAGTACATGTTTTAGACATATTGGGTCTATTTTTTAGAGTGATGGTGAAATAGATGGGGATATTATTCGAAGAATTCTTGGATGGTTGAATTGGAGGAATGCATCGGGCTTATTTGGTGATAGAAAAGTACCCCCGAACTTAAGGGAAAATTCTATAAGATGGTGGTGAGACCTGCATTCCTTTATGACGTAGAATGTTGGCCATTAAAAGAGAACCAAAATATTAAGTTATGTGTTGCAGAGGTGAGGATGCTTAGATGGATGAGTGACTTTACTCTTAGAGATAGAATATGAAACAAGCATTTATGTGAAAAGGTTAGAATAGCTCCAATGGAAAATAAGATTAGAGAGAGTTGCCTTAGATGGTTTGGTCACATTAAACATTTGCCTCTCGATGACCTGATTTGGAGAGTAGATGTATTAGATTTGGCTTATGTTAAGAAAGTTAGAGGTAGACTTAAAAAGTCCTTTAGAAAATATTAGAAATTACCATACTTTATTAGATTTTAATGAGAGTTGGACTCTTAAAAAGACACAATCGAGAAAAAATATTCATGTAGCTAACCCCAAGTGATGGGATAAAGGCTTGATATTGTTGTTATTGTTGTTGGGGATGCTAACAAATTATATTAAAATTGAGATATATGGGTCTATGTATTTTGTAGGTGACAAAGTTCTAATTGGTAAGAGTTTTAGTGAAATAGTTGAGAGATTAGTGTTATTTGCAAATAGCCCAAGTGGAGTATACTAGGAGTGGATGGAAAATGAGGATTTATAAAGCTGACCTCAAAAATTTTGGGTGAGGCTAATGGTGCTGATAGTCAGCTATATATTCTTAGTCATCATAACCTATTTAAAAGATTATAAAATGCAATAATTTCTTGTAATGTTTAACATATATGGGTCTAGTGTTTTGTTAATGTAGATCTACCATGGGATTCACAAAATCATACAACAAAAACAACAACAAGCCTTTATCCCAATGTGGGGTTGGCCACACGATTCCTTTTTCTCCATTGTGTCATGTTAAGAGTCAAATGCTCTTCTAATTCTAATAAAGAAAGGTCATTTCTAATATTTTCTAACTAGGTAGTTGGGTCTACCTATACCTTTCTTAACATTAGTCAAATCTACTACATCTGCTTTCTTAATCGGGTCATCAGAAGGCCGCCGTTTTATTTGACCAAAACATCTAAGGCGACTCTTTCTAATTTTATCTTCCACTTGAGCTACTCCAACCTGGGATACACAAAATCATGTGAACATAAAAATTCATGTATTGCAAACTCTTTTTTTTATGAACACTTAGAAAAAAGTCAAACACAAGTAATTCAACCTAGATGACAATGCAATAGCTTTCTACTTGAAATGAAATTTAGAAATCCAGAAGAAAAAAATCATATAAATAATTGAAAATCATAGACTTAGAAATTCAGATTGTATTTAATCTGAATTAAATCAAGTACATAGTGAAACCAATAGCAATTTTGGAGAAAGTAAAATAGTGTTGAAGAAAAAAGTTACCAAATCAAGCATTCAACTTGTATTATTGGATAACCTCTACCAAAAATCATTGATCTTCCATTTGATTGAGTAGTGAAGGAATAACATATTGAACTTGAAGTTTATTTATAAATAGCTTAGTTTATTTTGTACATGTCTCAGATCTCCTTTCATTATTCTAAATTCCCTTGGATTTTGCATTACAAAAAAAAAAAAAAAAAAATTTTTTAAAAAAAAAAAAAAAAAAAAAAAAAGGGAAAACAAATGATATGATCTTACCGGTAGTTTAGGTCAAAACAGGAAACCGGTTCACAAAAACCTGAGAGAATGAAGTTCTTGGCTGCTGAATCTGCATGTTCTGAGAACTGAGAATGTTTTTCTGGAATTCAGTCTCACGAAATTCTGAGATCGGAAGGTTTCTGAAGGCTGCAATTGGTGTTTCTTGCTAGCTGACTTGCAAGATTTGAAGGCTGAGAGAGTTCAGGAATTCTACCCGTTGCAGAATTCTGAGAGAAGAAGAATTATCTCCATCTTACAGAGACCTGGCTGGATGGCTGAGAGGTGGAGGGAAGATGAGATGCGGTTCTTGGAGACTCCAAGAACAGAACCTGAGAGCAGTGGCTGAAAAACTGGAGGAAGGTGCAGTTCTTGAAAGCCGCAGATTCTTTGCAGTAGAAGTGGGCAGGGCTGGCTTAACTGAACCTGGAAGCTGGCTTGCTTGTATTGGCCAGCGGCAAGGGGAAGGGTGAGAAGGAATGGGGTTTGGGCTAGATGGCAGGAGGGCTGGGGAGGACTGGAGCTTGGATTTTCCAATACAAAACCTGCGGTTGAGAGAAAGAGAGGGAGGAAAGAAAGGTTTCGGCTGAACCTGGAAGAAGGGAGGGGGGTTCTTGGAGACTCCAAGAGGGGCCCTTAAGTGCAGCAACACTTAGAAAATAATTCACTGAATTGATCCACCAAAATTTGCCCCAGTTCTCATTCCTATGGCCTTTAAATAGGCAAGTTTATAAAGTTTACATAAAATCCGTCTAACTTCAAAATGTAGAAATAAGATATAAATAACTAAAATACCCCTATCAAAGAACTAATTAATCAATTGGAGGAGATTAACATCTAATGATCTGACCATGTTATTAATAACAAGCCCTTTTAGGTCCTCGTGGGCGTAAAGTTGGGTTAGCAGACCACTAACTTCCTCTCCGCCTTAGTGACTTAGCACGCGTGTAGATCACCAGCAGTAATTTGAGTGGGAATTCCTTGTCCGTTAGTTTGAATTGTATCATTCCTTTTCTCTTGAGAAGGATTTGCCCTCAAATCAAAATTCTTTCCTCATCCGCCTGTATGTTCATGATATTATTGATTTCTCGGGGTTGCTTCTATAAGCAAGTTGGCTGGGAAGAGTGGCTTCAGGTATAAAGTCAAATTGGTGCTTAATTCCCTGAA